GGGGGTAATTGAAGTAACAAAGACCTAAAATTGATGAGAGGAAAGGGGTTGGCCTTTGGTTAGAGAAAGAACAGTTTCTCCATTATAATACATATCAAGGATGTACAGGATATGATGGTGAGAAGAGGAAATTGAATCATGGTTCTTCCAATTTTCTTAGAAGCCATATCATAAACTCAGAGACATTACATGGGAAGAAATGTTGAAGAGTTGAAAAGAAGCAAAGATGCCTCTTCTAGTGATACCATAGAGCTGAAGCATGAATTAATAAGGGAAACGTGGTAAGATGGTCAGGGGGCCCACTTGAAGGTCTCTATCATATATCACTAGTTATGCCAGCAATGTAATATCCTGTATTTTCTCTAGTTATAATCTCTTCAGATACTAAGGGCAAGTTCATAGAAGGAAGACAGCTGGTCTTAACTGGGTGATTTTATTTTTGTCACCCTGGTTTGAAGAAGAGAGAGAAATGCCTTCTAGGTGAGTGTATATGCAAGGGAGAGACTACTATGATGAATGATGGGCCCTACACTGGGTGAATGGGGAAGTGTGGACGTGAGTGGCATGCGTGAACAATGTGTAGAGGTCAAGAAGCTTTTGGTTTGGCGAAGTGTGTGATCTAAACAATTTGAAGACTTGTGTTGTAAAGGTTCTTTCTTTAAGCCTTTTGCACCCTGCTGATCCTGCTTGGCCTTGTGATGGTGAAACCGGAACACCTTTCTAGTCCCTTTAATGATACTCTGTCTAGTCAAGTTTGCACACCTTCTTGGTTCAGTCTTGCTACTTTATAATTTTGGGGGGAATTATCTATACCTTTGGGGTTTTTACTGTTGCCTAAACTTTCACCTAGATTCTCTTATAATTCTTACAAATTCCCAGTTAAGCTTTTTTCCTGTACCTTCACAGAGATATATCTGAGCAATTTTAGAGAAATTTTTGTACTTTCAAACACAGCTAGCTGACTTGAGCGGAAGACTTGCCGGTGACTACCTGGTATATAGATAGCCTAAGAGGGGTTGAATGAGTTTGTTTCAATAACTCATCCACTTTACTGAAATAGAGTGACCAAGTCCTGCCATCATTTTAGAAACTCTTTTGGCCAAGTGATACTGCTTTATTATATAGTTCAACACATGTTAGAGAAAAATAGGAATTCATTTTTCATTTGTTAAAGGAGTGAATTAGTAGCTGCATGTATTTTGAGAGCTGCGCTTCAGCACGTGTGTAACTGTTTAAAATTGGAATGGTATTGTTATTTATGAAATAATTCTAAATTGAACTGATGTGATTGTCAGTGGGGTTTTATTGTCTTTAAAAAAAAAGGGGGTCAAACTTTACATGGCAGATTCATCTTTCCTGCCAGATTTATTGGCTCTAGGCCTCCTTTAGTCAGGAAACTGTCCTTCAGAGTGAGTGATGTTTTTGCCGGTTGTAGGCATACTCATTATGCAATACTGTATTTTGAGATGCAGTAATAAATGCAATTAAACTATTGTACTGAACTTTAAAGTCTTATCACCTTAGAAACACTGAATGGCAATTTCAGATTTTTTTCATTTATGTTCACATACTGATATGAGTCATGCTTCCAGCCAAGCAGAAGCGATCAGCTTAGAAGGGGTGTGAGGGGGAGTGTCTCAAATTTTGTAATTCTGGAATAAGTTTATTCTGAAAACCCAGCATTTGCCAGAAAGATTATTTTTGAAGGCAGGAATAAGATAGGAATATTTTAAAGAAGTTCTATTTCCTTAGAGCTAATCATTGAATCATCCATTAAAAATAACACAAGCTGATCTGATAGCTCGCTCACACCTACTACTGACGTGTGACCTTCAGTAACCTCAGTGAAGTCTAGCATGACTATTGATAAAACATGCCAATGAGAGCTTTGTATCTCCCTGACCTATAAAAGGTGCCCTTTAGAGAAAATGTTGACAAACACGGAAGAATGACCTGACCCTTGCCATTCTGAATGGCTGCTGGCATTTATAGGATGATTTGCAGTAATGTCTGGGAGCAACCAGAAAGCCAAGAGGCAGGGAACAAGGAGAGGTGAAGTTCGCCATTCTCTCTAGCCCCGCAGAATTGCAGGACTTTCTAAAAGTGAAAAACTGGATCTCAGGGAATTTCTCCATTGAACCCCTACTATTAGGAAAGACCAGGTATAAACTATAAATGTTAGGTGTACATTTCTAAGTAATAAGGCAGGTTTTTATCTAGTTTATTTTATAGGACTCTATCAGAAACCAGGATTCTTTTAATGAGTGTGTGCGCGCGCGCGCACACACACACACACACACACACACACACACACACACAAAGATTTGTGAGGGCAAATAGCATCACATTTACCTTAGTGTGTATGTTCTTAGTATTCTACAAACTTCACCCTCTTTGGGTATTTTTCATAGTACCTGGGATGATTATACTTATCTGCAAATCTGTCCCAGATGTCACTTATCACTGCTAAGACCATCCATGGAACCAGGATCCCACTCCAGTAGTGGTATAATAGGCTATGCTGAGAATATCAACTCAGGCTGTGATCACCTTAAAAACATGGGTTTCCAGGAAAGTGGCAGTTTCCACCAATCCTGTGTAGTCCTCTACTGATGTGCCCAGAAGGCTTGTCAAAGAAAAGTAGCAGCCCCTGGATCTTCCTGAGGTACATTATCTAGGGTTATTCCTCTGCACAGTTGCCTGGGTCTCAGAGCAACTGCTATTGACCTAGAGACCTTAGCACTGCAGCTCTTTAAATCCTCTCTCTCACACACGTGCTCCCACCCTTCCTCACACAGTTTCACATAGCCGGTGTCTCCAGGTCACATCCACAGACCAAAGTGCTGGATTGCAATGGTTTTGAGCATCAACTACTGCACACTGTGCCCAGAACTAGTATCAGTCTTTATATCCCCAATTCTTGGACTTTGCATTGGCTATAACTTGTTCTTTCAGTTCTTCTTCCTTTGTGATGGTCTCCCTACCAGGGGCTTGACTGGCCTCAGGTAGGGTCAGTTCTGTCCATAAAATATATTTTGTGTCCTTGACCTTGGAACAGGTCACAGTTTGAGTACCCTTTTTTTCAACACCAAAGGTCCCTCGGCCTCTGTCTAAATTAGAGGTTAAATAAAGGTATATAAATTTATATCCTTAGATTTCTCAATACTTTTGCTTCCCTCGATAGACTACTTTACATGCCTAAATAAAGTATTTCATTTATTTAGTTGTAAAGTACAATTATGTTTGTAATTTTAACACTAGGTTGTCAAAAATCTTAATTTCTTTCTGTAGATTTAGCTACATGTCACAAATATACAGTAGTCAGTTTTCTTATTTGTAAAATAGGGAAACTGAACTAGATAGCAATTTCCCCACTTTTTTATAGGAGCAAAAATTTATTTTGGGGTGATAAAATCTTAAATGATACCTCAATAGTTAAAAAATGACATTTAAATAATATGGAATTAACTTTCATTAACAAAAAGTTTGACACAAGTTATAAATGACATTTATAAATATATTTAATGAAGCATATACTTTATTTTTAGTATCTTGTTTTCATTGTAAATAATATTTTTAAGTTTGTATTTAACAGACACATTATGAGCAGGTAGAGATCTGTTAACATGCTTGATTTTTAATTGCTTAACTTGCAAGCTCAGGATATGTATCATTAACAGAGAAGACAGAAAAGCTATATGCTGAGCTATTCTTCAAAATGAATGCAGAAGGTGATGCAGGCTGAGCTATTCTTCAAAATGAGTGCAACAGGAGATGCAAGTTACTGCTTCTGTGGTCTTCATCATGTCATCATTTGAGCGCAATATTCTCAAAAGAGTTTTAGATATTTAAAAGAATGGAACTGGACTCAGGAACCTCTTAGCTCTTCACTTCCAACCACAACTTGATAACATGGCTACTGTTGTACTAGATATTCCAGTTTGTTCTAAATCCATGTATCTGTACATACCCACATAAATACACATAAAATTTAAAAAGAGAAAGAGGCTCCTGGAAACACAATCTTCCTGAGATATTTTTTCTTAAAGATTTTTGATATTTAATTATACTTGCATGACATCAGCACAAGTTGCTTGCTCAGACTTTATTTCTTTGTTCACATAACGCATGGATAGTATTTCTACAGTAGCTATTGTTATTGGCTATAATGAGTGACAGTTCATTTCTGGCTATTGTAGAAACACAATAAATGAACCACAGTTTCCAAGGTTTTCTACATAATTTTTTAGGAAAATTTTTACATTGTATATAGACATGACCTAATGTATTAGAATGGAAAGCTCATTAATTCTTTAGAAAAAGTGATTATATACATTTTAGTGTGGAAAAATAAAAGTATATAATTACTACTAGGATTTCCTCACCTCTTCAAATTATGGCACTTATCATTTGAATTATGGTACTGGAATTTTAAAAACAAAATTTTTCTTAATTCATGTTTATGTTAAAGCATTTTTGTTTAAATTATTTTCTTAAAGTCTGTTACCTTAAAACCTGAATATATAAATATTTGAGTTAATTTTAGAATTAAATTGTTTAAGTAAACCAAAATAATGTAATAAATGTTCATTGTGATCATCACTAACTATTGAGCTATAACATTTTGGTTAATTTTCCTTGAGTTTTGTGGATCTTGAACATATGAATATTCTAGAAATTAGGAAGTTACTAAAATCCAACATAATGTTGATTAATAAGATAGAAGGACTTTAACTCTTTGTTCATAGAAATATTTGATTAAATAACAGGAAAACGAATGAAAGTGATTATGATTCATAATGTACAACATTCTTCTAGGGTGGATATTCTTTCTGCACTAAGTTATACATAGTGCAATTATCCTGTTCCATATCTAATGCCTTATTTATATTCCAAGATTTCTATAGATTTTTCTCTGTGTCATATTTATACTTTGTAGTCACCTTTACTCTTTGAAAATATAACCTTATGTAACATTGAAACAAATCTGTTTTTTTAAGGAAAAAATAAGGAGCTATCAACAGACTGAAAAGATGTTTTCAGAGGCATAGAAGTCTTCAGGAAGACACTGGAGTTCGTGAGATCTCAAGGTCAGCAGTTCACACATTATTATTTACATTATTATTTTATTTTACAGATCTGAGTTATAACTTTGTAACTATTCCAAATTTGTATTGCTAATGTCTAATTATATAAGGAGAATGCTCTTTTTAAAAATACATATTTATCAAAATTTCCTCAAGATTTTAAAAATTTCATTATACTATAAATGTATTATTTGGTTCAATTAGGGATGGTTAAAAGAAAATATTTTAGTAGAGAACCAAATTATAATTAGTTTCACTTTTTAAAAGAGTAGCACTTTTTACATAACATGAAATAAATATTAGACATCCCTATAAAATTTTATTATTATTAAGAAATGTTCACCTAGTTAGCAGATTTCTTCCTTTATTTTGTTTCTTTGGCTACAACATGCACACATATACACACATAGTTTAGAAAAATAGCTAATCTTCAATTCTTCTAAAATACTTTGAATCAGATTTCCTGACTTTCCCAAGTACAGTCACAGAAATTCTGATTTTGTTAAAAATGCTCCTGCAATAAGATGATGGTATAAATGAACAAAAGAATAATTAAGGACCTTCTCTAAGTTGTTTAGAGTCAAAAAACAAAATAAGTCTACTGTTATTAAACAGCTCATTATAATAATACACTAATGTAAAATATTCATTTGAGGTTTGAATTACAATTTAGGTTAAAATGGTCCACCCTAATAAAATGGCTTAAGTGGATGATTTCTGACTTCTTTATATTATGGGACCCAATATCAACATATTCATAATTTTAAAAGAAAAAATATTGATGACCTTTTATTTTGATTGCATTATTCATGCTTCTCTTCCTTGTCTGAATCTTTTTGTCACTGATCTAAGGGTGTATTCATTCAAATTTGCCTGGAACATACCATATGTCAGGCAATGGGCTGACTGCTTTGGGTGTTTCAAATGAGCAAGAGATGTTTCCTGTTCTCAAGAATTGTCCAACCATATGTTACTCAGATATTAAGTTTATTATTAACACAAGACATACTTAACTAAAAGGGCAAGCTAGATTTAAAAGGGCATGCAATGAATTCTAAAGCCCAATGGGAATGATTTGGGGATTATTCACTTTTTTATATTATGGCTTTTACTAGCCTAGAATGCTGAGAGTTATACCAATGGAGTGTTGCTCCATCACAACCCACAACTGACCTTTACAACTGATCTTTTATTAAAGTAGCTCTTCAAGTACAACACAAGTAAGTAATATGAGATTCTAAGAAGGAAAAGTTTCTTTTTTGCTACAACTGCAAATTTAATGTTGTAGAAAATACTTATACAAACACCTATGAAAAGAACAAAAATGATCATTGCTTAGATTTTTTCTTAATCTAGTACATTCAACTTATTTATTAGGTTCACCAGAGAGATAAATTATTTCTCCAATAACTTAGAAGGACATATAAGTTTGAAAGGAATCAAATGCTGTAAACACCTACAGAATCCATATTCACACGGTAGCTGAGTGAGTAAAGAGCTTCCAGACTGTACTTGAAATGGAATTACCCAGTACTGTGATTCTTGTGAAAAGCTTTTAAAAGGTGATATCTTACGAAGTTAAAACAAGTAATTAAAATAACAAAGTTATTTTTGAAAAGCCAGTGAAGACACCCTTTATTTAAATTGTGCCATCAGACAAGTGGTTAAATTAATTTAGATAACTACAATCATTCAACAAGTGTTCATCAAGTACTTAGTATGTGCATGGGGGCAACAGCATTGAATAAAATATACCAATATCCTTCCCTTAGAGAAAATGACATTTTATGGGGTAGAAACACACAGGCATAAAAACTCCAAAGTTAATTATGCATTATGTTAGGTGGTGATACTGCTGTGAAGAAACAGGAAGCAAAAAAGGGAATATAGAACGTAAGGAGGGATGGAGTTTTAAAATAAGCCTAATGACAGAACTGCATAATTTACACTGAAGAAGTAGATATTACTTTAGCCCACATAGTACCAACTAAAAACAAGTATGATGAAATATAATAACTATTGTTATGTTTCCTACATCATTTTTAGGTGAATGTTGCTAATTTATGTAAAATAATAACTAGTGTTTGTCTTTCTCAATTTCACCATAAAGACACTTTTTAAATGGTAATATATTTACTACATGCACATGAAATATTATCAAACTGTTTGCAATAAAGAAACATACAATTGAATGTGGATTAGTCCATTCACCTTCTGAAGGGGTAAAGACTATAACTATTCACCTATGTATGTGGAGGAGGAATCAATTCATTTTTTACATTGAATATTATAAACTTAAAGTAGTTAAGGACTACTGACAATACATATAGATGATACATGGTGCTAGAAGTGTATGTGTGTATATATATATATATTTTGTTGTTGTTTTATCATCAGTCATCATTTTAAGAGAACATGGAGTATTGAGATTGAAGACCAGAGAATTATTTAAATACTCCCTTATTTGCATGGCACAGTATTTTTTAAAGGACCTATGTCTTCTCTTGCATATTTGATTTACTAAAAAGTATATGGAGATTTGGTTAAAATAACTCATCTGGTTTGTGATGATCAACAAATGAATTATCAAGTTTCTTTTGATGAGAACCTGGTTGGAATTTTTCTGTGAAACATTAGCTGCTGAGCACAGGAGTTTGGAGGTGTTTATAACCCAGACAACCCTGCTAATTTTTTGCAACCTATCTAAACTATAAATAAACCCAGCACATAAATATTCTTTTGGTCACAGGACTACTTTATACTTTTATTTACTTTTTAAGTATATTTTATTGATTATGCTATTATAGCTGTCTCAATTTTCCCCTTTTGCTCCCTTATCCCAGTACCCTCCATTCACTCTGGCAGTACCCCCTTAGTTTATGTCCATGGGTTGTGCATATAAGTTCTTTGGCTTCTCCATTTCCTATACTATTCTTAACATCCCTGTGTCTATTTTGTACCTACTGATTTGTACTTCTTAATCCCTGCACCTTTTTACCTATTCTCTCCCTTTACCCTCCTTATTGGTAACCCTCCAAATGATCTATATATCTGTGATTCTGTTTCTGTTCTGCTTGTTCACTTAGTTTGTTTTTTAGATCCAGTTGTTGATAGTTGTGAATTTATTGCCATTTTAATGTTCATAGCTTTGATTTCTTTTCATTAAACAAGTCCCTTTCACATTTCATATAATAATGGCTTGGTGATGATGAACTCCTTTAGCATTACCTTTTCTGAGAAGCACTTTATCTGCCCTTCCATTCTAAATGATAGCTTTGCTGGATAGAGTAATCTAGATTATAGGTCCTTGTTTTTCGTCACTTTGAATAATTTTTGCAAGTTCCTTCTAGCATGCAAAGCTTCTTTTGAGAATTCAGCTGATTATCTAATGGGAAATCCTGTGTAGGTAACTCTCTGCTTTTTTCTTGATGCTTTTAAGATTCTTTTTATCTTTAACCTTTGGTATTTTAATTGTGATGTGTTTTTGTATGGTCCTCTTTGCATCCTTCTTGTTTGGGACTTACTGTGCTTTCTGGACTTTTATCTCTATTTTCTTCACTAAATTAAGGAAGTTTTCTTTTATTATTTTTTTCAGATAAGTTTTCACTTTCTTGCTCTTTCTCTTCTCCTTCCAGCACCACTATGATTCAAATGTTGGTTCATTTGAAGTTGTACCAGAGGATCCTTACCCTATCCTCATTTTTTAATACTTTTTCCATTTTGCTGTTCTGGTTGAATGTTTTTTTTCTTCCTTGTGTTCCTAATCATTGATTAGATTCTCAGCTTCATCCACTTCACTGTTGATTCCCTATAAAGTTTTCTTTATTTCACTTAGGGTAACCCTTATTTCTGCCTGGGTCTATTTTATGCTGTTGAAGTACCCAATGAGTTCCTGGAGCATCCTGATAACTAGTGTTTTAAACTCTGCATCTGATAGATTGTTTCTCTCCATTTGGTTTAGTTCTTTTTCTGGAGTTTTGTTCTATTCTTTCATTGAGCCTTATTTCTTTGTCTTCTCATTTTCGCAGCTTCCCTGTATTTGTTTCTATGTATTAAGTAGAGTTGCTTTGACTCCCTGTCTTAGTAGCATGGCCTAATGTAGAAAAGAACACCCATGAGTTGGATGGGGCAGAGCCTTAATCGCCTGGGTGTGGTAAGCCGTGTGAACCAGGTTGATGGACTTTCAGATTTGGTGTTGCCACTTTGTGGCTCTGCGTTTTGGGGGGCTCAGAAAAGGAACAGTGTCCACTGCCTGGCCTCTGGATTTTTGTCTGGGAGGAAGCTGTCTCTCGGCATTCGCCCTGATGCCACACTTCTTAATTTCTCCCCATATGCCACTGGTGCCCTTCAAGCTGCTACCCTGGTGTTAGAGCCCAGCCAGAGCAAGTCTGTATAAGTCCTAAATCCACTGAGGACTCTTTAAGAGGAGATGCCTGAAAATCTTGCAATTTCTTCTGCCATCTCAACCCCCATTTGTTTTTACAGCCAGAAGTTATGGGGACTTACCCTCTTAGCCCTGGAAGCTTGGGCTGGGTGGTCAGGTGTGAGGCTGGAATCCCTCACTACTGAGATATCCTCCCAAGTTTTATCTACCATATGTAGATGTGGGACCACCCATTCTATATTTCTTTGTCTCTAGCCCCTCCTACCCATCTGAATGAATGTGACTTCTTTAATTCCTTGGTTGTCAAACTTCCATACAGCTCAGTTTTCTAACAATTCTCAGTGATAGATGTTTTATAGTTCAGTTGTAATTTTTGCTGTGGTTGTGTGAGGAGGTGAGCCATGTTTACCTACATATCCATCATGAGAGGAAGTCTCCCACCACATAAATTAATATTACCTTAAAACTCATTTAGTCTTTGACTTAACGCGGTACAATTGAAAGAGTTAGCCGATTTGGTAACAGAAGAATTTGCTAAATCAGTTATTTTTCATTGTTAATAAGTCAATATGACAGAAATATCTAGTCATCCAAATTAACACAATTTGGATTAGGAGAT